GAAACAAATAACCCACGTATGTATGGACAGTCCCTATTTTTGACCTGAGACATTTCTTTGTCCAACTTCTTTGTTGGTTATCCTTAGCCGTTGACAAACAGGTCTTCAATTGTCGACCGTAAGGGGAGATGACGGCAAGAGTGAGTTTTCGTTTCTTGAAATATTTGTTTGGTGCGCCCTATAAGCCGATGAAAAGCCAATTCTTCACTTCCATGTCCCAACTTGTTCCGGTCGAAAAGTCTAGCCCCTCGCGGTGAGTCTCAACCTGATATATACGCTCGGCCCATTCAAGACCAACGACACCTATTACCGCTCGTGCGGCGTTCAAGAAATCGACCTCAGACTGTTCCACGCCCGAGCCCCATTAACACTTCATCAAGTATTTCATGTCCAGCGTCTAATAGCAGAGGTTACCTAGTGACAGCACAGTCTCGGGTCGGGTTACTGGCTCCGGGTTGATCTCGACTCATCTTTCTGGCGCCAGATCGTCAAATCGAATGTTGACGAAGGAGCCTCCGATATGACGGCAGATAGTCGTGAACAGGCCAAGCTCTCCGTCACTCATGATCGTGTATGCCGAAAGGGCCCGGAACAACTTTTCTTAGTCATTGTTCACGTTAATTTCACTAGAGCTATACGCTCCTGACCTGTTGATAATGCATAAAACAATGTGCCTCTTGTGCAAGATAAATCCATGGACGAATCGACGCAATGGCTGAGCGTAAAATACTTCACGCACATACAGCATGAGCTGGTGGAATTTAAACTCTTTTTGTCTGCCGCCTTTATGAACTCACCCACTACCCTCACGTCCCTCCAATGATAGCCCCAACTATCAGGGTTATCGGAATGCTCAACAAAGATGTCCACTTGCCGTTTACATCGACTACCTTGCATCTGAATTGCAGTAGAAGTAGAAGTAAAATTTCCGCGCACAAAATCATTGGGGTTTCTAACTGTAGGAAGCTCATTTGAATTTGTTGGTTGGACTGTGTATAGTTCCAAGTACATCCTGTGAAAAGCTTTGAACCATTTTTTCATTGTATCATCATTCATGTTGTCACTGAATACGTGGTCATTTCCACAATGACCCATGTCGCGATATCTCTCCCAAATGTGAGTGGTTAGACCATACCAGTTTTTATTTTCGAAATTCACCTCCCAGAATTTATCGACAGATTTATAAGTATCGTGTGTAAGCTCGGCCCTGAGTGGCTCTTGAAGGGCTTCTCTGTTTGTCAGGATTGTCTTCTGTATAATCTATATTTGTGGAGCTAGCCAGAATCTAGTGTTCTATGATTCTTGTCAGGCCTTTTGGCCGAGCGGTTATACACGTATCTCATGCATAATGTAGGATGGCACCCTATAGCACGAATAGTACCTCTTTGACCCATGTCTCCGCCCTGCTGTCTACATGCTGTTCTGACACTGGTACTATCATAATCGGGTTGTTCTGCGACGTTCCGCAATAGAGTTGTCGTCGATCTCTTCTCTTGAGTCATAGGGATTTGTAAATTTGGAAGTATCGGAGTAGGTACCCGGGTGAGTAGATCGGCAATTAGAATAATATGAGACCAAATTTGACGATCGCTTTCAAAATTGATCAAGTAGATCAGTTGTGCAAAATCCAAGATAGAAACTTCACCATTCATATTTTAAGTTGAAGATTGATTATATTGATCTCTATACTCATAACCGCCTGGTTTTTTGTGGATCGAAGGAATCATGTGATATAAGGAGGAAGATCACCAAATAAGAAATTGATCTCCATTAGATTACTAACGGCGAAATCCAAAGAGCCCATTAGATATTCCCTTACGATCTGGTATGGGGTTAATGTTAGATGGAAGGGTTTATTCTTATTTTCTTGTTCCGCGGGTGTAATTCAAAACTAATTGTTAAAAAAAAAGTGAAGTTCCTAGGAGGAAATTTGCTACATTTAAATTGGAAAGCAGAGTGGCGGTCAGCTGGTCGGACTCTTTTGTAATTTCTAAGTGTTGTTGTGCGCGATAGAGCGTCGGATAGTTCTGTAGGGACTGGGCCGTCCAGTACGTGACAGTATTCACGTGCTGTAGATAGGCACGACATTAAATTCAATCAAATTCAGACCAAAATCACTATTGGATTGGTTTAATCTTTTTTTTCAAGCTTGGAAGGTTTTCCTTGCATAGATCCAGCTTGAAAGTTAGGACTACCTCTATACTGATCTAGTATTTGGTGCAGAGGGTTTCGAGTTGCGTTCTTGAAGAATTGTTCGATTTGATGCATCACGTAAAAATATTGTGTGTAACGGTGGATTTTTTGAACGTGAACTTGAAAGTGAAAGCGGGGATTAGGTATGTGATGGAGAGGTTCAACAATCTGAGTAGAAGTTAGAGTTTCGTTTAAATCACATGACATATCTCTCCATGACGCGTTCTTTTTGCATCAGATTGTAATTGCGTATGCAGCTACCTAGCTATGACATGATATCAAAGAAAAGTACAGAAATGATGACTCAATTACAAGGGGAGCACTCATGCCTCGGATTTCATTTGCAAGTACCACTGCGAAGTTATGGTGGCTTTTTCTTCACCCCAAGTCAACCCTCATCCGTGAATACCCACCCAGGGAAACGTCTCAAATACCCTGAGTTATCCAGACATGCCTCCATCATCTTTTAACTTTTCTCCGCACGAAATATGGTCTGAGGCGTCTCCTTCCCAAGTGGAGTAGGTGCACAGGCTACTCAAACTATACCAGAGAACACCACCAAGAGGCTGACTACGGCACCTTCCATCGTCGGCAAATTTTTATAGTGGCAGCTGCACTTTCGTAAGCTAAGTCTTTGCGCGCACAAAGCTCCATTGGTAGAAACTCCTTGCAAAAATTCGGAATCTCACGCCCTTCGATGTTAAGTGCTTCCATTGCATCATCTTGTAAACTTGCCCTTATTCCTCTCACGTCCATCCCAAAGAACTGTCACCCAAATTTGTGCGCCACGCTTTGCTTCCCCCGTCAGGTATAAATATCGGCGTGGGCGTGTATTCGGTGGTCAACTGAGGCCAGAGAAGGTCGAAGAGAGGTGTGGTCATTGGGATGAGGATGTACTTGGTCGTACTTGTAGACTTGATGAGACTCGGGTAGGAGTCAAAATCGTTGGGAGCGAAAAAACGACGTGGAGGAGTATTATGAATCATTGCTTCGTGGGCCAACTTTTTCGATAATGCGAAATTTGACAGAACTTGGCTCTGGGAGAATATTTCACTCCCAGGTTCATAGAGGACACCGCGTACAGGTGTTCAGTCTTGCCCTACTCCATGACGCATTACTTGTAGGATAGTATTAAAAATACTGTCCGTTTATGGGGGACTATTCTCAACACCTGTCAGTGGTGTCCCCTACGAACCTCCAGCTCTCACTGTAGAGTCTATAGAGCCCAGATTGGGTAACAAAGTCCTCACTTCGACGAGGATTCCCAATCGCTTTCGCCGTCAGTATCGTCTTCATCTCCCAACACATTCCCCTGTCACCATCATCATTAAGCTTTACACGATCGGACCAGATGGTAAGGTTGGAGCACTTCTCGTCACTAAAACTTGATCATGGAGGAACAGCTATTCCATGAGTTTCCGGAGCGTACCTAGCACCCGATACGGAGATGGCAGATTGGATCAAGTCGGCCTCGATCGTTACAAAGAAGGGAGATATAGATGAATATGCGCACCTCATGTGGTCCCGGTATCTAGGCCTTGGCTGGCTGGGCCTGCAGGCTTTTTGAGACTTTTTCCCGCGCACGCAGTTTCCATTGCTACCTTTTTTTTCCTTTTTTTTTCCTTTTTTTTTTTTTTTTTTTTTGGGTAGAAGGTTCCGTGGAAAAAGTGGCTGAATTCTACGGGTAAAAACTGAGCTGAATGGCTATTCATCAAGGGTAATATATCAATGATCTTTCAAGTAACAAAAGAGGATAGGAGCACCGTACAAGGTGTGGCCTGGGTTAGAGAGGAGCCCAATGTGCTAGATAGTCATAGACGCAAGTAGTACAATAAAAACATACACTGTCGGTTTACATAGTGCAGCTGAAACTATTAACACAAGCAAACGATGGAAGGTATTGTGACCTGCCTCCTGGTGGCGTTCTCTGGTATAGTCTGAGTAGACTGTGCACCTACTCCACTTGGGAAGGAGACGCCTCAGACCATATTTCGTGCGGAGAAAAGTTAAAAGATGATGGAGGCATGTCTGGATAACTCAGGGTATTTGAGACGTTTCCCTAGGTGGGTATTCACGGATGAGGGTTGGCCTGGGGTGAAGGAAAAGCTACCATAACTTCGCATTGGTACTTGCAAATGAAATCCGAGGCATGAGTGCTCTTCTTATAAATTGAGTCATCTTTTCTGTACTTTTCTTTGATATTGTGTCAAAGCTAGATAGCTGCATACGCAATTAAAATCTGATGCAAAAATATAAATAAAAAATAAACCAAACCTATATCATCACATGTAGGTATGAACAATAATTACCCGATAAATGCATAATAGGATCCATTTGTTTTAAGATTTCCAACATCCTTTCCATTTTGCTTAGATATGGAAAAATAGTATTTTTCATAATAGCATGCGGAAAACCCCGCTTTTATGTTCAAAGAGAGATTCCTCGCCACACATTCAGAGTCAATGAGCAAATAATTACGACTAGCGATCCATTAACATCAGTAAACCTCATTATATACTAAAAAATTTTATTCTATCTCTATATCATTTGCATACTTGGTATGTGATGATTCCAATATACGGAACTATTCTAATTGGCCAATGTTGCATCAGTTTATTCACTTGAGAGGTAGCGCCAGAACGAAAGTGCACTTACTTTTAAGCGCAAGGAAACATTTGCAGTTTTAGAAGGCTTTTACATTTTGAATTCCTTTATTCATACCAACCGGTTTATTCGTGATTACTGTGTCCGTTCTGCGTGATCTTTTTGTATTGATCCGAGTTTCGGCTAGAATAAAAGTTTGCGCTATGAGTGTTTCCAAGCTTGTTGAGGGGGTTGATAATGCTTATCTAACTCCCAAAGATGCATCATCTACTGAAGATAGCAGTCAAGGCCCAGTGCCTGATATTACAGACGATATGATTCCAGCCCTTCCGCCAGGATTGGCTTACTCACGTCTAAAATCTACCGCTGAAATACTCGAAGACTTAAACAAATCACCACTCTTTATGACATCACTTGAAGAAAATGAGGACATTGAGGCCCTGCGTGCATTGGCTTACGAAGGTACCCCTTACGAAGTCGCTTGCGGGTTTAAGGAGCACGGAAACGAATGCTTTACGAGTAAGAATTGGAAAGATGCAAAGGAATTTTACAATAAAGCCATAAATATCCTCATTGATAAATTTCAAAAAGTGTTACGTGGGGAAATGGAGACGCTAAAATCTAAAGAAAAAAAGAGGGAGCTTCAGGTACTCGAAGCATGCCTTATAAATCGTGCAGCATGTCATCTCGAGCTGCAAAATTATCGTACCTGCATTTTGGACTGTGGGAGTGCATTACAAATTAATTCAAAAAATATCAAGGCATACTACCGCAGCTCAAAAGCATTTCTAGCTCTGGATAAAATTACTGAGTCCAAAGATGCGTGTAAACGGGGTCTAGAAGTTGCACCAGAAAATAGTGCCCTTCACTCAGTTGCAGCGGCTATAGAAAGTCGCTCTACCATTGTTGCTGCTAAAAGGCAGCAAAAGCTCGAGCTTGCAAAAAGACAGAATCTAGAAATTGCTACCCTTAGTACCGCACTTAGAGCTCGAAACATAACGCTCCGAAAAACTACTAAGCCTCCAGAAATGGAAGATGCACAAATTGCTCTCGTTCCAGACCCTATCGACCCCACTTCATCCCTCTGTTTCCCAACCGTATTACTCTATCCATTAAGACTCGAATCAGATTTTATCAAGGCTTTTAATGAGACACAATCCATAAGCGAACACCTTTCTTACATTCTACCATTACCATGGGATCATTTGGGTGAATACTTTAACACAGGGGTAGTCTGCTTCATGGAAACTACCACTGCCGGTTTGATCAAGGTTGGACTAAAGGTACCTATTTTGAAGGCGCTAGCTACAGAAAACGTTGAAATCGTGGACGAGCTTGTAAAAATATATGTCTTGCCCAAAGCTAGTGCAACAGCTTGGACAGTGGATTTTAAAAAGAAAAAGGCATTGGAAAAGACCCCATGATAGAGATACACGAGATAATTAAAAGCTTCTCTACCGGGCTTCTGTGAGATTTATGGTGGTTACAAGTACCTGGAGTTAAGGATTTCTCATCTCATATCGCTACCAAAGAATGTAGGACACTGCTTCGGTTCTAAGCACTCCTTTCGTGAAAGCGATATCATTGGAATATGATCGATGATTCGAAAATGATATGCATGATAGTATATCGTTAAAATAATTTCTGTCTTAACAAAGATAGTAATCCATCATATACACAACTCTCGTTCCAGTCTTCACTCCACATGATTACGCCTGTGCTACTCAAAACTCAACTAAGACTCCTTGAATCAATTACGTCTCCCATTTCCCACGACGTATCACTCGAGCCTAGATTCAAAACCATGACAAAGTACTTAGTGTATGTGATGCTCCTTGACAGCGACTTCCTAACTCGGTTGGTTCGTAAAATAACTACCCTCCGCATAGTAGACAAAAACAATGAAATGTTTTATCAGGACAGCTGGGATTTTGTCGATTGACACGTATCAGATTATATAAACAAATCAACTCGTTTTCGTATCTACTCTGCGGAGGGTAGGTATTTCACAGACTAATATCACAACATTGACGATTGTGTCATAGCTAGATAGCTGAATACACTATGAGTTAAAAAAAACATTGACGATTCGAGTGATTTTATGATACAAGGGTTTAAGAGTATTGTTACAAATTTGGATAAACGTCTCGGATATGTGTGTGTGTGTGTTTATTGTGCTACTTGCGTCTATGACTATCTAGCACATTGGGCTCCTCTCTAACCCAGGCCACACCTTGTACGGTGCTCCTATCCTCTTTTGTTACTTGAAAGATCATTGATATATTACCCTTGATGAATAGCCATTCAGCTCAGTTTTTACCCGTAGAATTCAGCCACCTTTTCCACGGAACCTTCTACCCAAAAAAAAAAAAAGGAAAAAAAAAGGAAAAAAAAAGGTAGCAATGGAAACTGCGTGCGCGGGAAAAAGTCTCAAAAAGCCTGCAGGCCCAGCCAGCCAAGGCCTAGATACCGGGACCACATGAGGTGCGCATATTCATCTGTATCTCCCTTTTTTGTAACGATCGAGGCCAACTTGATCCAATCCACCATCTCCGTATCGGGTGCTGGGTACGCTCCCGAAACTCATCGGATGGCATCTCCTCCATGATCAAGTTTTAGTGACGAGAAGTGCTCCAACCTTACCATCTGGTCCGATCGTGTAAAGCTTAATGATGATGGTGACAGGGGAATGTGTTGGGAGATGAAGACGATACTGACGGCGAAAGCGATTGGGAATCCTCGTCGAAGTGAGGACTTTGTTACCCAATCTGGGCTCTATAGACTCTACAGTGAGAGCTGGAGGTTCGTAGGGGACACCACTGACAGGTGTTGAGAATAGTCCCCCGATAAAAGACTAAGAATATCGGACTGTGAGAATATAAGATTTTATATTATGTAAATTCTAGATTGCGAGATCATAGATCAAAAGAATGAAATGTTGAGAAGCTGGAGAGCTTCTATGTGGCAGCTCCAGCTTCCTTATGTCTAACTGGAGACAGTACTTGAACTCAACTAAGACTATGGCAGATGTAGTCATGATGCCAGCCTCTCCATCTCTAACTGTCAGAGTTTTGTCAGAAACCTTATCAGTAAATCTTTTCCCGAAAACATTCTTAAATCCTTCTCCTATCACCTTTTCCTGAGAACCTTCTCCTTGAAACCTCTTCAAGGATGCCTGGCCATCACACATTGACTTTAACATAGGCCATATTTATGATTTTATCAGTTTTCCTGATTAATTAAGTCGATGAAATTCCCATAAATGAATAGGGCCTTCATACCAATTCACCATATTCATAATAATAATTAAATTATATCTTCATCTTGACATGTCCAGTATTCTATCAAAATTACTTCTCATAATTATCGGTATTCACTTCAAGAACTGACCTATCCGTTGCACTTAGCCTTACAGTACTTCATTTCCATATTTAAGTTCCATATTTATCCATCGATAAATCTTACCACAGGAACTCTAGGAAATATCAATCCATTCAATTTTCACTATCAATGACGCAGCCCTGGCTATGGATGCCAATTATACAGATGATATTTGAAGACTGAGGTCCCCACTGTTGCAGAATATCACGGTTGATTTTCTGGCCAAATATTATACGTTTTCATCGGTAGTAATTGGTTGTATGTCGAGTTGTGGTCGCCCTTGGCCAAGGGATAAACCGATATAAGGCTAGTAATTCGACAGTACACTTACAGAGTACGACAGTTGCGTTAGGATGGATATCTACAGGTAACTCATATTGTGTATATGATTTTTTTACTATTTTGAGAGATTCGTTAGGTGGTGGGTTGATTTCGGCGCGGTAAGTTATTGTGGGAAAATTAGACGCCTTGTAGGATTTCAGTTCTTTTAAACACAAGCCCCTGAAGCGTCCGAGTCTTTACATGGTTCGCTTTGAGGGCAAAGTAGATGAAATTCAATGAATTGGGTAGTCTTGAAATCTTTTCGGGTCAAGTTTTCGACCAAAATTATGCCAGTGCCACTGTGATTGATCACCATTTCATAGGAGTGTCACAAATATAACTTTTATAATAGTTGAATTTATGCCATTGAGGAAAATTTAACCCACAGGTTGTAAAGGACACCCCAGTTATCACACTTCATCTTCCTTGGTTTAACTCCTTGGGTACGAGGTAAATCTTTCTAACTGGCTAATTAAAAATTGATCTGTTAGTGCAATAGAAATAAAACCCGGATTCAGTACATACATGATTGGTTGGGATCAAATGCGTGTATCTTCGTTGCATACGTCAGAACGAGCTCTGAGAGCCATTTCGTTTTCACTAATTCTGTAGTTCCGTATTTTCCCGTCTAGCTCAAAGGGTTCGAGGTGCGGGATCGCTACAATGCTCCGGGTCCAGTTTGAAGTAGCTAAAACCTAAAAGAGAAGGTGTTCTCTCGTGATGATGGGCGTGGCTGGATATAGCTGTCAGAGTCACTTGAGCCTCAATCCTCCTATAAGTTTTCCATAAGATTGTGCTTTCTCGTGCAAGCTTCAGGAAAGTTTCAAGTATTTTTTGTGACGCTTGGCGTGTGACAACTGATAGGGTCGACAACGCTCTCAATTTCTGCTTCCTCCGCCTCAACGAATGCTACTAGATCTTCTATACAGCAGCACTTGAGCCCCCATTGCTTTCCAAACTCAATACATTCAGCTCTTCTCATCATTCCGGGCTCTTTTCTCTCCGCCTTTCCTTTTGTCTCAATGCCGTCATCTACTATTTCGCTTATGACACCTACCAACGGCAAACTAGCCAGTCGGCAAAGTTCTATCGCTGCTTCCGTATGCCCGCGGCGCTGGCGGATGAGACCGGGTCGAGCTATGAGGGGAAATATATGGCCAGGACGCCGAAAGTGGAAAGGTTTTGGAGTAAGGCTAGCCTCGGCCGAGACGAGGAGATTGCATGCGAGAGCACGGTCATGTGCAGATATGCCGGTCGTAATTGAAGGGTGCTTTGCGTCAACTGTAAATTGAACCCTTCATTAACTCGGATCCAACATGCTATTTACAAAGCTGCAAGCAGTCAAGATCAAGTTCTACTTACTAGAGATAGTGTAGGCAGTTTGATTTGGGTCTTCGCTTTCTTTTTCTCCGACCATCAGCGGCAGCTCTAAAGCCTTGGCGAGGTCTGGCATGATAGGTGTACAAACGATTCCTGAAGTATGCCGAACCATAAATGCCATTTTTTCTGGGGTCATAGCTGACGCTGCTATTATAAGATCACCTTCATTTTCGCGAGAAGTAGAATCGAGGACTATGACGAAGTTTCCATCTCCTGAAATAGAAAAAGTGGTTAATATACGGGGTCTTTTGCATATTTTTTACGGGTAATAATAGGTAAGAGAACTTTCAAGCAAAGATAAGGGTGAGTGATAACTTCTCGATCTACGTACGAAAAGCTTCTATAGAATCTTCTATTGTATCAAATTGAGGAGTGTTAGAAGACATGATAGATTGAAAGTGTGTTGGATTCGATTTGATCCCAGATGATGGTAATGATCGCAACAAAGAGGGAGAATTAAGTGAGTGAAAGTCTGCTCAATTGAAGTCTAAATACGGTCGGCAATTTTTGGTCTTGCAACGAAAATCGAGTTGTTGATGAATCAGTTGAATTTATAAACTATATGAGGTGAAAAGTCGTTTGAAGCTATTTCTACCAAGTTTTTATGACGGTTGATCCACTTCGTGAATCTGCTGACTGATGACTTTCCCCTTGGCCCGATACTTATTATTAAGCCATATGTTATGGAGGTTCATCCTTCGGAAACGTTAGCTCGACATCCTGACATTTTTTTGCATCAAAATTCAATTGCGATTGCATCTATCTTGCTATGACAAAATATGAGAGAAAAAGTTTAGATTACATGACTAAATTTGAAAGTAGAGCACTGGTGTCCCGTATTTCAGCTGCGAGTACTACTACCAAATTGTGGCAGCTCATTCTTAATCCCAACTCAACCCTCATCCGTGAATACTCACCCAGGGTAGACTCTCAAAAATCCCGAATTATACGACCTCATGGCTAGTAGTGCCATGTCATTTATACTTCTGTATCCCTCATCATTAAATATTATCGTAATTATTGCCAACAAAATGCTTGAGTCTTCTAGGCTCGAGAAGTTGTAATACCATCCCGGAATAGGACGAATTCTTCACCTTCCAGCGCTGCTGGTATAATCACTCGTTGTGCTCTGTATGTCCAGGATAGCCAAGAAGAATTGCAACAGGATCAAAGTCAGAGCAAAGACGAACACATCTACATTTAACGACTTCTCATTAATATTTGTCTTACCATTCTCGTTTGAGTCCCAAACGTCTATCTAATTCATAAATAATCTCATCTTAACAATTGATGTAAGAGTTGCTCTAGAGGGCAGAGGCTGAATACATGTTCGCGGTGTTGTCCACGAATCCATGAGTGAAATATTCTCCCGGTGTCAAGTTCAGTCAAATTTCGCAATGTCGAAAAAATTGGCCCACAAGGCAAGGATTTACTAATCCTAACCATACAGTATGACAATGCCAACAAGGTCGGTACCGGTAAAAGCTCAATCAAGTCTGAAAGTACGACCTAGCGCATCCTTATTTCAGTAACCAAAACTCTCGTCGCGTCATTCTCTGGCCACATATGGCCTCTACATACATGTACTCGAGAGTATGAATATCCGCAGGGCCATAATCTTTGGGTATATCTATGGAAGATAGTCCTTTAAGACGGATGCGTGAGAAATCAGGGCAAGTGGACGAGATTATGTAGTAAATAGATACACACTCGAATCTGCGAGACTTTGATATTCGGCTTGAAGTTTTGCAAATTAAAGAGAATTTTACACTTCAAGCCTTTAATTATGAATCCAGTAATTACTGTAATCACCGCTATGTTTGGGTGTTGTAGTGACGCATCAGCGCCTTTATCTCGAAAAATAATACATGGAAAGTCCCCTACCCATGCAATCAACTGTCCTAAAATTCTATATCAAGAATGACCATTACGAAACTATCAGAAGAAATTGAAATACACTATCTGGCTATCTACTACCTGATTTAGTAAGTCAGTCATTCTGGAGCAGGGTGTACACTCTTTATTGTTACCTGCATCTTTTTATTCCTGCATTCCTCCGTGACATTACTAGAATATCTAATGGCTGGATAGGAACTAAATCATAGCCATTCTTTTTTTATTTCCGGATTAATTTTTTAGATTGTTCCTCACCCACAATAATATTGGATTGAAAGCTGTAGTATCTCTTCGCATGTTCTCTATCCCCGTGCTACTGGGACATAAGCTATACTTGTCTTCTCACAATTTTACTGGCTTTAAGGAACTTTTCACGGACAAACGAGCCTAGAAGAAAAGCAAATGCTTTTCCGAAATAAATCCTAATACTAAAGCGTATTCTTGTGTAACAGTTCCGGTATATAAAGCTTAGGCGTTTGTATGTCGAAAGGTAAGTTTATTTATTAACTGAAGAACAAGAGTAATGCTACATCTAACGCCCTATATATACGTGATTCCAATATTCCAAACACTAGTAGCTACCCTCCAGTCGTGCCCCCATTATTAAGGTGTGCGCTAGTTTCCAACAGTGTCTCAAACACAGGCAGTTCCCGACTTTCAATACGAGCGCAACTTAGCGCTGACACTATGAATATGTCTGTGCTGAATAGCACAGGCTACAGGGATCTTATAGGCTCACTAGCCGTCACATCTAGGTCACTTTTTACTAGATAGTCAAAAATAAACTGCAACTCATAAAATAAATTAATATCAGCTAGATTATTAAAGCCGTGCAGTATTCCAATTCCTGCGATGTATTACTGGTAACACAATATCTGGACCTAATCTTTAGACGCGCCACTACACCTTGCCATCTGTGCCATGATAGAGGTCCGAGAAATATCCACGTCAATACCTGGCAATGCAATATCCTTTCCTTCGGTTAAAACTCTATTACAGCTTGCCAACAGTTCTAAGCTAGCGAGACTAACTAAATTAAAATATGCGATACCTGGCTCACTTAACGCGTCAATTGATTGGAACAGTTTTTGATATATAAAATAATTATTATTCATCCAGAAAATTTACTCCGTATTATACCTTATACTTGACCCGATAGCATAATGGGAGACTACATTGCTTCTCAAGCTCACTATTACTCCGGATTAACTTCCAAGGAACAGCACACTCAACTTATAACAATCGACCAACATTTGCGTCTTCTATCTTGCAGTGTCAATTCATATACCATACAAAAGATCGTGGTATCATCGAAATGTGTTCACTATGAGTGCTCCAAATATCTAAGAAAGTAATTGCTAGTGGGACCCTTAACAGCTTCCATACATTCACACTAAGAAATTTTAAATTGTGCTCGAAACCAAGTCCGGCTAATGTGATCGCTCGTAGCTTTGGATAGGCCCACAAAATATGAAAGAAACATTTTAGTGAAACGTAATATATGATTCAAGGCTAAATAAATATTCTAAAACTTAAGAACAATAAATGGCGATTTCGAGAAATTCCACAGAATTCGGACGGAATAGATTTCTAGATAGATAGCTTGAAGAATTTGAAAGATTAAAATTTGACAATTGGTTATCACGCAAAAATAATTCCACATAAATCGGCCGATAATATCACACCGGATAAAATTCCCTGGTTATCAACGGAAAATAAGTATACTTAAATCTGGCCTTTCTAAAATGACCTAGAAACTAGAAAGCTATTCCAACCTAATGGAATAGAACTGCAACTTAATAGAGGCGTTCACAGTAAGACTTTGGGCGAAGGATCTATAATGAGGTTTGGAATAGACTTCACACTGTGGTAATGGGCAAGGGTAGCTTGAAGTCAATGTCCATGGCACCCAGAGAGAGTCGGTTTGTCCATTGTGAATCCACGCACAGGCTTTCATAGTGCGGTGGGAAACAGTTCATATCTATGTCTGCTCTTCATCGTAGAATGCCAGTACCCTAACTTCAATACTTTCTCTCAGCATACCTTTATGTTCCCGATTTTGTCTCACTGGAATTGAACAGTGGGGAACGCCTTTTTATAGTCAGCAAATTACTCTTTCAAGTGGCTACATAATCGCTTGGAGGAAGTTAAACGTACCCATCTTTGAGTCAGGCTTTGAATCTGACTGCAAAAAGACCCAGGCCTCTTGTTCGGTCTGATTACTTAAGTAGTACCACTTTTGGGAAGGTCTTTGATACAAGTGATATGTTTCGATGTATGAGTCTACCTCGACATAATCTCGAGCTATGTAATCACTCTTTTCAACTGAACTTGGATCACAAAGTGCAAGAGGCCATTCCTCAACAGGACCTCGGAGCGGTTTCCACACACTAAATGATAAAAGCATTAATAGAACTGGATACTTAACCAGGGATTTTATTACTCACTTGATGTACTGATGTCGCTTCTTCAAGAGTGTCTCAGCCTCGTTGAAGTTCATGCGTTCGATCAACTTGCGTGTCTGTTGCGGAGTTGTATCTGCTCTAACATCAGGAACATGTAACATTTCCCGTGAACAAACCTTGAGCAATAAGTAGAAACCAAAAGGTCTTCACATACCTACATGCACTATCGAAGAGGGCTGTTTATATTTGTAGAAATTTTCGGTGTAGATAGGGAAATCTTTGTCACATTTACGGATCTCTTAAAATTAGCGTTAAGTCTATTTATCAGGACAAATATTCAAAGTAGCTCTACAAAAACAACATACCATATAATCAAAGACTTGAACACGTTCAGCGCCAAGGAATTTTTTAAGGACCTCTGCTACTTTTGAAAAGTAGACTTCGATGACTTTAGTCTCATCATCATATTCGGCGTGCGTTAATGGGCTATCAATATTGACAACCTCAAACCCGTTTTTTTCAAATGAATACTTAGATTTGCTGTTGCGGATATCTGTGACAGAAAGGTCCTTGACGGGGCTTATTGTCATATTAGTGCGTGGCTGCCCTACTTGGGGCTCGTAATTGAGCTCGTAAGGCTTCTCAACCAAATGAAGAGGATCTTTCTTCATAAAATAAAAGGTTGATGTAAGAGCAGCAGCCATATTTCCTGGATAATATAATCTAAAAGTTGATAGGGTAGGAACAAAGAAGAAGTTTCTCTGGATGATGTAGACTAAATGGATGAAGCTCAAGCACTTGAATTTATAGTAATATCTAATTCATCGTCCCAAGTCATCATCAGTCGAAAAATAAATGACATCGCTGCTTGATTCGTTCCTAATTATTCATGTGTTGGGCCTCTCTGCACAGGATTCTATTCCTATCTTTGTCCAGGGAAACCTTTGCGCTGCAAACACTCGAACTTCGTCCTACCTGAATTATGTTGTTAAACCATCAACACAGTCACTGAATGAGCTCGAGCTGTTTTATGCAGGAAAATGATGACGGTCAGTTCGGGTTACCTCACATTAACGATCAGCATCTGTTGTGCTCTACAACAAAGTTCCAGTGATAATGAGCATACGTCCGGACGCACAGTAGTAATTGGTCTCAGGAATTATCTTCAAACTTTAAATCACCGTCTCTTAATCCTATCTTCCCTTTTGACGCTTCTTCCTCAAGACACATTACTTAAGCTGATTTATACCACTTGTAAGTGCAACCTGCATAATCCTAGTCTATCATCTACGTTGAGGTACGTGATAGGCGTAGCCTTTTACAAGTTTTCCTACCAGACTTATATGCTAGGGATGGGAGTTCACATGGTATGATTGAGAACGTTACTCATTGACGATAAAATAAGGAGTTTCAGTAATGAAGGCCGCATGGATACTAGCAGTCTAAAGTAGATTAATATATACAGAATGAGCTGTTTGGTCAAATAGCTCACTACTTAGGCATATCTCCCATGAAAAACTACATGGCTTGGAATTATATCACTTTATTAAATAGACAACTATATTTATTGTTCTACTTGAGTCATAGACCATCAGGCACATTGGGCTCCTTTCTGACCCAGGCCACACCTTGTACAGTGCTCCTTGCTTCTTTTACTGCTTGATAGATCATTGATATATTGCCCGTAATGAATAGCCACTCAGCTCAGAATTTACCCGTGGAATTAGGCCATCTTTTCCACGGAACCTTTTACCCAAAAAGAAAACAAAAAGGTAGCAATGGAAACTGCGTGCGCGGGAAAAAGTCTCAAAAAGCCTGCAGGCCCAGCCAGCCAAGGCCTAGATACCGGGACCACATGAGGTGCGCATATTCATCTGTATCTCCCTTTTTTGTAACGATCGAGGCCAACTTGATCCAATCCACCATCTCCGTATCGGGTGCTGGGTACGCTCCCGAAACTCATCGGATGGCATCTCCTCCATGATCAAGGGTTGGTGATGAGTAGGGCTCCGACCCTACCATCTGATCTGATGGTGGTTAGCTTAATGACGATGGTGATAGGGGAATATGTTGATAGATGAAGACGATACGGACGGCGAAAGCGATTGGGAATCCCCATGTACGTGAAGACTTTGTTACTCAATCTCGGCTCTATAGATTCTACAGTGAGAGCTGGAGGTTCGTAGGGGAGATTACTGTCAGGTACTGAAAATAGTCCCTCGGAGTATGAGGTATGTTTGCTTACAAAGACAGTCGACCCTCCTCCTTTAGTACCCACAAAAAGGGAAACTCAAAAACTTTGAATTTGAATTTGAAATCTTTTACGTGACATGAATAACCTAACATCTATTTAGACGTGACACAGGTAGATAGGCTCTGAGGGCTCATTGCTACCTACATGACCGTCAGTGATGCCAGAAGCAATAAAAGAAAAGAAGGAAGTAACTAAAAGAACAGTATATGTCTGAATTACGGTGCCCTGCGCCGTTTCCCTGTCTTCCACACCCATCTACTCTCGGGTCAGAAACAATCTCAGCGCAGTCACCTTCCACCCTGTTCATTCTTCGGCAGACTGTAACATCTACTTGTAGTTAGGAATTGAATGAACTTCTGTCATCCCTTCTCCCCTATCATTTCCCTGGCTCCAGGTGGGGCCATTTTCTCTTAGATTCTCCAACGTAGCAAAGTAGGTCGGCACTCTTAAAAATGCCAGGGCCTTTTCTCTCGGCCGCAAATACATTTTAGATCTTCATGTTCGGTGTTGAAACGTCGATGGTTGTCGGCGTAGTCCTCATAGCCTGTTCTTGCTGCAATAAGACGATGGTACGCACATCTTGGTAAAGCTGGTTCCGGTGGCCTTTGCAACGCATGAATAGGTCCAGATCTTTGTATCGTTTCGGTCGATACTTCTGCCACCACTCTTCCACGAGCTCTTGGCTACGCTGTTTAACCCACCTCCCTAATGCCGCAAATGTTAGATCTTGATCTTCTAGAATGGGCGCAGCTGAGGTTAGTGACCGGTTATTGGAAGCTCCCAAGGCTGACCTGGCCAGCTTATCGGCCTCTTTATTGTCTTGAATCCCCACATGCCCGGGTATCCAGCATATTTCCACACGTTTATTGTGTCTCAGCGATGAAAACTTGTCCACCACCGACTGCGAGGAGTTAGATCTTCCTCTTTCAAGCGCCTGGGTGGCCGCTTGGTTGTCTAGAAGAATGCAAACCGGTAAGTTTTCTCCTACCTCTATTGCAGCCTTCAACGCTTTCATGGCACCTACAACTTCTGCGTAGAATACCTCTGCTCCGGGAAGTGGACCGGAACCACTTTCAACTAGCTTGCCTCCTTGGTATACTACATACCCTCAGGATGATTTTCCGGGACCCGATGATGATCCATCCGAGAAAGCGCAGACTGTGTTAGCTGGGCGGGAAGCTAACCACCGCTTTATGCTTCCAGACCATGCTTCTTTTTCTCGACTACATGGAGTCGATTCTGGGGTGCCGCGTGGGAAGTATAGCTTTCCGGGGCCTTCGGCTGTTGGAACTCGACGCACACTCATTTGTAGGCGTGTCATGTACTGTTTTGGTTGTCTGAACAATCGATCTCTTTGTCCCGATCTAAGACCTAGGCGTCTTATTGTCTCTTTCGGGTACTCAACCGCCCGAGGAGCTAGAGGGTGCCAGATATCTATTCTTCGTATACGAGCTGCAGACCGCAGCATCTTTTGCTGGAGAATTATCGATGCCGGGGGTATTCCTGCTTCACGATGGAGAGCGCTATTGGGGGTGGTACGCCACGCTGGGAGTGCTACTCTGATAGCTTTCATTATCGTTTTTTCTAGTAGAGATATATACCAGCCTATTCAAGTGCCGACTTCTTTATCTCGCAGTATTGTTATTCGAGACCCGGATACCACGCTTCTGCCCAATATAGAGCCGTACTCAGAATGCATGCATGTACCGCACGAGTTAGAGGCCCTGGAGCTGCACCGCGTTGAACTCCGTTTATATGTCGTAAGAAAGGGACTAGACGATTAGCTTTTCCAGTCCATTCCTGTACATGTTGCTCGAAGTTTAGCTGGGTATCAAGCCAGATTCCTAGCCACCGGATATGAGGTGACGGTTCGATCCGGCGATCTTTCACCAAGATGGAAAGATCAGCCGCGTTCATTTTCTTTCCAGGCCCTCCTCCGGTCACTAGAAGTTCTGACTTCGCTAGGTCGAAATCGATCCTGTGTTCTCTTGCGAGAAGGATAGGGCTGTCGAGGTCGTCTTGAGCTGCGGAGATTGCATCCGCCGCGGTGTTTCCAATTCTGACAATAGCTACATCGTCAGCATAACAAACCTACTCGTTAGACTATGATCCTCAAAAAGCACAGCGATGTAGAGCATGAAAAGAAGTGGCCATAGTGGCGAGCCCTGAGGTACTCCACATTCCAGTATCTTCTCTTCTGTGATTCCACCGCGGTATATGACCTGAACCTTTCGTTGGCAAAGAAATGTCTGAATAAACCGGCACAGGGATGACTCAAAAAAAAAAACTTTGGTTATCCTAGCACGAATTTATCATTTATACATACCGACGCCTAGCGAGCTGTGATTGTGTTTCACCGGATTTGAGCCAGTTATCTCCTGTCACGGGTGAGATTTGTGCTCGCTGTCCAGAACTAACTTGGAGGACCTGACCAGATGATGTACCACCGCACCATCCAGCCATGGCAGTAATTATCGTGTTACCTCATCCCTTTCGAAGTTAATTCAACGTGCGCATAACGACTGTGCCAGACATGGCCCGGCCTTGCTAATTTTAATTCTTGCCGAGCCCAAGTAATCTAGTCAAGTGAGGGGGAATATTTTTAACACCTGACAGTAATCTCCCCTACGAACCTCCAGCTCTCACTGTAGAATCTATAGAGCCGAGATTGAGTAACAAAGTCTTCACGTACATGGGGATTCCCAATCGCTTTCGCCGTCCGTATCGTCTTCATCTATCAACATATTCCCCTATCACCATCGTCATTAAGCTAACCACCATCAGATCAGATGGTAGGGTCGGAGCCCTACTCATCACCAACCCTTGATCATGGAGGAGATGCCATCCGATGAGTTTCGGGAGCGTACCCAGCACCCGATACGGAGATGGTGGATTGGATCAAGTTGGCCTCGATCGTTACAAAAAAGGGAGATACAGATGAATATGCGCACCTCATGTGGTCCCGGTATCTAGGCCTTGGCTGGCTGGGCCTGCAGGCTTTTTGAGACTTTTTCCCGCGCACGCAGTTTCCATTGCTACCTTTTTGTTTTCTTTTTGGGTAAAAGGTTCCGTGGAAAAGATGGCCTAATTCCACGGGTAAATTCTGAGCTGAGTGGCTATTCATTACGGGCAATATATCAATGATCTATCAAGCAGTAAAAGAAGCAAGGAGCACTGTACAAGGTGTGGCCTGGGTCAGAAAGGAGCCCAATGTGCCAGATGGTCTATGACTCAAGTAGTACATTAAAAACATCACATCACTCCGCAGTGTGAATTCCACATAGCTCATGATCACAATAGATTGGAAATACTGTTATTCAGAACTAAATAGACACATACAATTATGGAGCATGATCGATCACACAGTATCTGAAATTCTCATCTCTGAATGTCCACCAAAGTAGCATTTCAAAATCTCTTGCGACTCAAGCATGTTTTAGATATTACCATATACAGTAATTGCCTAGGATATAGGCAAAATCTATCTCCGGGGAGAAAGATGCATCCCAAGATAGCTAGTGCCCTCTTGAAAGACGAGCACGACTTGTGTGGTGTTCCTCCGACTACATTGTTTACCGAAACTTCATGAGGAGATAAGATATTCTAGTTATGATCGATTAAGGCTTTGTCAAATTCTAACTTCGTCTGTGTGTCTCTGCATAAGATCTCAAGGTTTAGCTGGAATAAATCCAGGGTTAAACTTTGATTTCCCTCTGGGCCGTTTTTAACGGTGTCAAGGAACCGTGCAAGCAGTTGAGATGAGAAAGCCTGTTGGAAGAATCTATAAGAGTTATAAAAATGTACATTAAGACGAAGCCTTACTACCTGTTAGTGGTGGCCTACATGACCTTGAAGCAAAACATTACCCACCGCCGAGATTTAGCCAGAAAATGAGTTGATTTGAGACATTTCCACGAAATGATATTCTAGAGGAACGGCAATGGCATATTTTTGGTCGAAAGAACTTGAATAATGGCAATTGATAGCTTACATGACCATCATTTTTCTCGGAAGGTCTCTCTTATCCAAGATCATCTCGCGACCTGTCGAAGCTCTCAAAGAGTCTAAAAGTTATAATAATTAAAGATAGAATTGGACGTCTATCCTCCGCAACTACAGCGCGCTGTGAAGGAGCGGTCGAGACACGGTACTTTATTGCGTCTAAACCTCGATAAATGGCCAGACAAAATACATACGAAACTTCATCTGAAAATCAACCAGAGTTTCTGACAAAAGCAGATGCATCAATGACTTGACATCGAACTTTTATTTGCATATTTGGCCTCCGTAGCTAGGGGTACGGCAATGACTTTGTGAGGCCGGAGGTAGAACAACCTCTTAGCTTTTCGAGAGGGCGAAATTTGCAGATGGAGACAGTTATTTTCGGAATACTCGGTTGGTATTTATTTCACAAGATTTCTGTAGCAGTAATAACAATTGGTGGTTAACATATCTCTTCTATTCATCTTTTCTAATCAAAGGAAACACGTATTTACAGCAGTTGTCCCTCTGTCTGACGCCATTCCTAAACAGGTAACTCATTACTCATCAACATAATTAGTCATCATTTCTAAGACAATACATGAAAGGTCCTCTTTTTTACACCAGACTTTAATTGCGTATGCAGCTTTCTAGCTATGACACAACATCAAAGAAAAGTGCAGAAAAGATGACTCAATTTATAAGAAGAGCATTCATGCCTCGGATTTCATTTGCAAGTACCACTGCGAAGTTATGGTGGCTTTTTCTTCACCCCAGGCCAACCCTCATCCGTGAATACCCACCCAGGGAAACGTCTCAAATACCCTAAGTTATCCAGACATGCCTCCATCATCTTTCAACTTTTCTCCGCATGAAATATGGTCTGAGGCGTCTCACTCCCAAGTGGAGTTGGTGCACAGGCTACTCAGACTATACCAGAAAACACCACCAAGAGGCTGACCACGGCACCTTCCATCGTCAGCAAATTTTTATAGTGGCAGCTGCACTTTCGTAAGCTAAGTCTTTGCGCGCACAAAGCTCCATTGGTAGAAACTCCTTGCAAAAATTCGGAATCTCACGCCCTTCCATGTTAAGTGCTTCCATTGCATCATCTTGTAAACTTGCCCTTATTCCTCTCACGTCCATCCCAAAGAACTGTCACCCAAATTTGTGCGCCACGCTTTGCTTCCCCCGTCAGGTATAAATATCGGCGTGGGCGTGTATTCGGTGGTCAACTGAGGCCAGAGAAGGTCGAAGAGAGGTGTGGTCATTGGGATGAGGATGTACTTGGTCGTACTTGTAGACTTGATGAGACTCGGGTAGGAGTCAAAATCGTTGGGAGCGAAAAAACGACGTGGAGGAGTATTATGAATCATTGCTTCGTGGGCCAACTTTTTCGATAATGCGAAATTTGACAGAACTTGGCTCTGGGAGAATATTTCACTCCCAGGTTCATAGAGGACACCGCGTACAGGTGTTCAGTCTTGCCCTCCATATGAAAAGTCATTAAGTCATTAGTGTCAGAAAATATAATCATTGGGGCTATCAAGTCGGGCACGTTGTTGGTACACAGGTGACTTCAAATTCTGTACTTAGTTTCACTTAGGTAGTTACTTGAATCAATGCGCTCTACAACATCAATGACTGAGAGGTCATTTTTTCCTTAATAATTAGGTCATTCGGCAATTATAAATAGAATGGAGGATTGAAATAGAAGTAGACCGCATGGGATCTATATATATGACTGAATGGAGTCTCTGATAAAGAAAAATACGAACTGATAGAATGAGGAAATTCAGGGTCGGAGTGAGTCGTGGACTTTACGTAAAGGGAATAGCAAAAAGTTTGATGCTGACATGGGCTTTAGCATGTCGAAAGCGGGTTACTTGGGCGGTAGGATGTGAATTGATTCAATACATGGGTGAGGACTTGGATGGTATTGTCATTCAGGTAAGACAAGGCGTATGTGCTTAATGGTAGTGAACCTGATCCAGACCTGCCCCATTCGTGCTCAATCATAACGTAGTTAAGCGATCGCATAACCCGACACATCCATGTGCAACAATACACACATTGAATCTGTCCATGACAGGAAATACAAATGTAGAGGTCCCCTTAAACTTTGTCATCGTATTGTAAATGCTCTGGCTACAGATTGGACTGCGAAGGCTAGTGTCGATCTCTCTGATGACAGCATAGATATAAGTCTTGGCTGGTAGGATCGTAAAGTGGTATCGGCGTAGGCAACTTTCGATGGGGCTAACCAGAATCGGGTCTTACCATTTGTGTGGAGCCATACAGAATGACCACCTTGAACCTCCCTCATTTTATATTCTATTCAAGCGGTCTACAGCGTTTGTCTTGTGGTATAATCAATCTACTTTCTTCATATAACAAGCCCGATACTTGAAATCAGTTCACTTGTTTTATAAATGGCAGTCTTTCCACGAATTCAAACCTATAGAGTTTCCTGCCTTTAAAGCGTGGTACAGAGCTAGGTATCCGTATCCACATCCACTCTCGAGCTTGTAGTTTAGGCTGCGGAGGAGTATACAAACATTTGTGTGACTAGCTTGACTTTGTGCAAGAGTTGGTATCCCTTCCGAACGATGTAAAATCAATCACTAGTCTTTTTGTACGTACAATACTTGAAGTGAAGAAGTAGGGGTTTAATGATCTTTTCATATGAAAGCTGTCGTGTAGCTTAATCGTGTAGAGATGGTAATGAAATAGCTTGAAGCTTTAATGATTTTCCATCCTCTCGCTGTTACTTTCTTCGGCTCTTTCTCTATAAAGAGACGCCTTTTCAACGATACCTTTGGCATTCTTATTTCTTTGCCGCTCCTCGTACATACAACGACTCCGAAGAATACGCTGCACGATTTCTCCTGCGTTGACTTGTGAGAATGGGTGGGGACCAATCTCATGGTAGATCCCCATATCTTTAGCATCCGAGTATGGGTCAAAGTTAAGTGGTATAAAGCTTGTTGGACCGTGGTAGACGGCATGGGGTGAGCCCCAAGGGCATATAGTGAGATAGTCCCGTGTAGGCGCAAATGGAGCACCGAATATCACAAGGTCAACGTACTTATTGGTCAGTCAGATTCTCCAGTAACATCGCACCCTACTTACCTTACACTGTAGAACACATAGACCTCTTTCCAGAATATTCATAATGGGATAGTTTAATCCTTTCCAATAATTAATTACCTCATCATCGTGTATACCTGCCACAACAAAAACTGGGCCATAGTCGCTGCCATGCTGTCTAATGCGCTCTTGAACTGCTTCCTCACTGTACCAGCCTCGTTGTTCGGCATTTTCTTGTTCAGTCTGCACCACAAGACGAAGGAATTCGATTTGACCTGAAGAGAAGAGGTCGAAGCCACCGTCGACATAAACTATTCTCTGCCCAGGTTTGGGGGAACTTCCGGGCGCAAGGAGTCTGAATTTTTTATCCTGCTGCTCAGGCAAACCTTTTGTAGCTTGGAGCGGATCTGACCACATCCACGCACCGACACCAACTGATAATCCCGTCTCGTCTCGAGCAAACGATCGTATTTGCAGAAGTAGACCATCGGCTTTCTCTCTTGACTCGGGAATATCCTGCTCATCGAAGATGGTGGCTAGTGGCTTCATAAAGTGTGTTCGAGTGCAAAGAAGCATTCTCCCCACCAAGTCCGTGGTCGATATACCGGGAGTTCTTTTCACAACTTTGAAACGACCGGCAGCTTTCACATAGCGATAGCAATCCTCACCGTTGCTATCCGACGTTATATCATCCCCGTGGACAACATATTTGCAACCATAATGTGAAATCCATGGTAGCGATGTTACGTAGGGTGCATGTGGTACAGAGCGCGTCACCCATCTACAAGCATCTACTGCTGCAATTCTATAGAGATATCATCAGCATGTAAACTGGCCATTTGTTGCAAACACATTCACCGTTCCTCTAGTGTCATGACCGTCGGGCCTTTGTTTTCCAATATTGATTCATCCGAGTGTATTCCTACATAGAGCTCTGTGCCCAGTTGTCGTGCCTGGAGCATGGCGCCAGCATGCCCATACTGATACAAAATTCACGATTAGATTTGGTGTATTAAAGCATGATACAGAGCTTCTTACGTGGAAAAAATCCCAGCAACCGTCGACCCAGATCCGTCCGTCGAGGATTTCCGTCGCAGGGTCACCAAAGGGCCCACTGTCTGGGTCCTGTGACTCGCCGGTCATCGTAGGGGGAAGCAGCATAGACACTTTGCTTGCTAAATCAAGGATGCGAAAATGTTAAAGGATAGCGTGAAGGGTAAGGTAAATGAAGATGATCAGCAATTGTGAACATGAGTTGTGTGAAGGTTGAAATCCGATCTATTTAGCCCCCTACCATCCTGTCAGACAGCCTTTTGGGTGGAGGATTCCCCGCCATTTGAGTAAATTACGATTTGGGAGGTCATATTCCTCACAGCCAGGGGTAAAGTTCTTGGAGCCAAATACGTGACCCTTCGGTGATTTAGAATAATGCAGGTGAGGAACTGTAGACAAGGTCTGCCGAGAAAATGTGTCCTCACTTGTTCAACTTTTCAGCTCGAGAAATTCCCTTTACCGACAACGCGTCTCAGACTCCTTCCCGACACAACAGATTTTGTAAGATTATTCGAATCACGCTCCTCAAATTCGTCTAGTCCGGAAGCGCAAACGCGTGTGCGCACAAATCTCAGATTTTCCATATTTGCGACAAGACCAGTCGACAGCTTCAGGTGGCGCGACACTGGCGTCGCTCTCCTTCACTTCGGCCAGCCCAAAAGATTTTCTGGTGAATTGGGCGCGGCCAAAGACGTGAGGACGCTGAGGTTACTCCGCGGGCCAGACGTGTGCTATGAACCTGCACCGTAGATCGTCCGCCGCGTCTAGTGGCGGACGGCTCAAAGGATTGAAGCGGTTCAGCGTGGATCCAGATGGCTTACCCACGAACATGATGATGAGGCTGAGCACTAGCAGCAGTAGTGGAAAGGGTGAGAGTCCTCCAGCCGATCATAATGCACCCGTCGCCAACCCTCAGAGACCGTCGCTAGCTCTAATCACTGAGTCCCCTCACATCAGTTCGAGTTTCCGACATTCCGCATCCCTCTCGCGTGGCCGAAAGACCCTCAAAAAGTATCGCGACTCCGACCAAGATCCCTTCTCCCCTTCCGATCAACCCGCTCCACTGGCTCAGAAGACAACTCCTGTTAATTCGCTCAGGCCATCTTCGAGCAGGAAGATGCTTCAAGTACGGCCAGGTACTTCCCATCAGTCTACTGTACCACCATTTCCCTTGTCTCAGCCTCAAAGTCCATCGCTGGAGAGCGTCACCTTCCAGCACATACAGGAGACGGCTACAAAGCGGATCTCAACCCTAGACTATTTGCGAAAAGCGTGAGTTTCCTCTAGCTGGAGTGGGGGAATAAAGAGTTTTTCCCATTGCATTGCTGATCAGACCTGCGCGAAATCTAGACATGAGGGACGAGTTTACTGGTTCAACACACTACTCTTAACGAAAGCAGACCTACAGCGAATATCGAACCTAGATTACCGAAAACTCGCTCGTCGGGCCACCAACTACCTCCTTCTGGGCCTGTCTCTCCCTATCATAATCGACCTCTATTGCTCTAGTCCTATCGAATTTCTCAAGACCCTCAGTGCCCTTTTGTCCGAATTCGAGTCCTTTCAACAGGTTCATCCACCCGACGGCTCGTCGCTCTCCTCCTTATCTCGCAGTCGCTTCCCTCAAATGTTCAAGCGGGCCACAGTCGCCGGAATCAAAGGTCGCCGCACTAGCTCTGCGGCAGATATCGGTCTGCCCATGGGACATGAGGGTGACGTTAAATCTGTCAATGGCAATGGGGGTGCGTCAAGCGCAAACACCAATACATCATTTCCCACAAGCGAGAATGACCTCCACCCGGGCGAAGAGTACACATATCTGCTGACTCCCTCACTTCCTTTCGAACCGGACATCTGTGAAACTTTTGCAACTTTGTGCGACGTGCTCATAGACTGCTACACTAAGCTCATAGCCCTCATTTCTAGTCCGAGGGACACAAGTCCAGTGATAGCGGAGTATTTTGCTAAAGTAGACTCTCGGATACGGAAATTGTTGGTACAGGGAGTAGTAAAGGAGTTTGAGGATGTCAGCAGAGCAGGTGTACGCAGTGAAATTTCGGGTGTAGGTCGAGTTGTATTAGGGGGTTTAGTTTAGCTGTTTACTGTGAGGGTAGGAGTCCGGTCTGAGATTAGGGTATTTTCTATACTGTATAAAATTTTTAATTCTTCGTTCACCACTTGGTATTTGAAGGTTCATCAGATTCCATAACGCATTTGTGTCTTCAGCGGTGGCTACGTTTTTCAGACGGTCCACCTAAGAGCTTGACTCTGTATATGGTATTCATCATGTGAACAGTACGAATTTAGTTACTTCGACGAACTTCTACAGGCGCCGTATTAGCGCTTGTCGCTTTCTATAAGCTATAAATTCATTAGTTGATGTCCTTCGTCTCAAGAATAAGCCCCATCGAGTTACTCGTCGAGCTACTCTCGCAGTAGACGAGCAATCGCATAACTTTGAATCTCGACGAAATGTCTCCAAGTCTATATACGTCACAGTACCGTCCTTGCCTTGTTTTCGTCCCAGACTTCCGCCCAATCCAGGCCATCATTCAATGTTCACGGACAGTTCGGACTCATATCTTCGTCCATGGGGCCTGCCCGCTTCGGAAAGAATTGTACAAGGAGTTAGCAGGAGAGAGGTTAGCGACGAGAAGGAATGAAAGGTATTGATCAGATAGAGATGAAGTTAGTCGCAATTGCTTCTATGGCGACGCGTTTCCGCAGACCTTTTAAAGGATGTCCGGGGACTTTCTCCCAAAGCTGATACGACTTATGAAAGCCGACATTTCCGAGGGGATATGTCTGTTTGTTTGCTTCGAATGCGATTCTTTGAACGATGGATGTTGATTCGAGAGAGCGGAATTATTTCTAAATAAATAGGCCACTACTAGTGTCAAAATTAGCGAGCGTCCCGTGCATGCTTTGGGAATAGCGTTCTATTTTGCGCCTAGCCCCTACGGCCCCTAGCGTGGCAAGGCATTCCCAAGGAGGATCACTAGCTTTCATCGTTATCACTTTAGTCTCTGTTGCACTCGACAGATGCTGGTTAATAATTTGAACATCATCAGATCATCAAATACGACACTAGTTACTTAGGCTTTGGGAGATGCGCGGAATATTGGGATTGAATCGCGATTCTATTGTTATATGAATAAATCTAAGTCATCTCTTAGCTGATCCCGAAATAAATAGGGGACAGGGGAAATCTGAACCGAGCTGACTCAGCTTACGATGGTATGTATTGCGTCGCCATAATTAAAAGATCTTTGAAAATATTGGTAATTGAGTTCTGCATATCGGCCTTAATTTACATGTACGTAAGATTAGTTCCATGCAAAATGAAAGGTACGAAAATGAGGTATGTATTCTTGTTCCATGCCTTCTCTCTGAGAACTTTGCGAACGTGTAGTTAGTGGTATTGGCTGAGTCATCAAGACAATGACTCAGCAGCTAAGAGATGCACCACGCTTAGTGCAAAGCAAATTGAACTGCTTTCCGACAGGTTCTGTAAAATTTTGGATCATCTGAATGGTTTACTAAGAGAATAACGTCAAGAGCTTCAGGAGTACCCGTAAGTGCCTATCGTGCTCACGTGCACAGCTATATTTAAACAATGCCAATTGTAGGTTTCGGTGAATCTTTAGCAACTTTGTGATGTGGGCGATCGAAACGAGCGAGAAAAGAAATGTCAAGTCTGCAGGGACAGTCGATCACCTTTCCCAACACCTAGCTCGAATAGACTAGTCAGTTGAGATGACGAGAACTGGATACGAAATACGTCAGTGGGCCGAGCGCCAGCTTGCCACGGCCGACGCCATTTTTGACAAGGACGCAGCAGTGACAGTTGCTATCGTAGCTGCTGCTCAAGGCACATTCCAAATATCAATCAACTGTGGCTCGACATGTAGTTCCGCTGTCGCTAACATCAAGAAACTGCCGTGGCGTCACCTTCTGTTCGGAGGCAATACCGAGAGAAACCAGTCCTGTACCGCTATGACAAAGCGACGCGTCGAAATATGCCCAACGCCACTGCTGGTTGGTTCAGTGTCGGCGGTTCCGGTCTGTGCGCCTCGCCCTAGCAAGCCGTCACGCTGAATCGTGCGTGCTGCAAAGTCAGCTAGCCCACTCGCACCAGGTCAGGGTCTCCGCTATTTCTTGCCGCCACTTGGGGTGCGCCTCACTCTACACGGGAGCAAAAGAACCCTCGATACTCCGGTGTTGTCTGCCCTTGGGGGGTCCCAAACCCTCTTAAAGGAAATAAGTTAAGACCTGTTAGTGCTGGTGCCAGTCAACATACTCATCACAATCGCAACCGATCTGCGGAGAATTCTATGCGTTCATCGCGATGAAAAGTCCACAACAGGGGAGCGTATGATAAGATATGATAAAATTGACATAAACCGGAAAGTCAGCCCGCGGCACACCAGTGACCGAAGCTGCTTGCACTACTTGAACCGTGAGGCTCACGTCCCTCCCGCCAATAATCTGCTAATGCCATTGCTAGTAAGATAATCATCAATGGCCACAGCTTGAACGTCGCCCCATACAAGGTCTTTTTGTTCATGCGGGGACTCCGAAAACGAAAATACTTTGGCAAAAACAGGGTGCGATTAGGGATCTATCGGGCAGCTTGTCTGCTGGATAAGACTTGCCGTACCTTTGAAGTGCAGCTGATTGCGCCAAAGATGTTAGATATTCTCAGTCATAACAACTGCCTCAATCGATAGAGAGATTTGTAACTGCCTTTCGCCGACTAAAGTTTCTGTTTCGAAAGGTATTTTTATGATTACCTTGTCTCATCGATATCGTATTGCAGTGCCAACCACGGCAAGCCATTACACACCCTTGACCGTGAGTGGTGCTTCCCTACGTTTACTAGGACGCGACTTCGGGCTCCATTAGGACCAGTGAGCGGTGACACTTAAGACTGGCCGTTTAAATAATCGTCCTCAGCTGAGAAAAGGGTACTTAAAGCCCATGGCTATCAACGGACGCGCGCCTCATTTGACTTTGTGAGGATACGTCTATTAGATTTTGTGTCACAGTTGATACCTCTGACTAAGAATAGATCTAGACTTACATGGGTATCTCTGCTCGTCCCTAAAAGACTCTGAAAGGCTTGGGAATGCCAGTGAGTAGGCTCAGTTTAATTGTTCCATGTATTCTTGGACTTCCCGGCACGCCTTCATCTGAAAATTTAACACCAGTTGAAAGAAGAACTACGTGAAAGTTATTGAGACCGGAAGCAATTTGGTGGTTGCCAACGCGACAGCGGCGATATTTGATACTAGAATTTCTGTACTAAACGTCCATCTCTTCATCGCTTAACTAATGTAGATGGCCGTCTGCCGTTTGAATGGGTAAGATCCGAGCCCTTGATCCATGTAGATGCAATTTATCCCTACTAGGGGTAGTATTGAGACGAACTGAACTGGAAATCAACCTTACATACTTTGCCACCCTTCATCATATACTGGCTACCAATTCCTCCCGTCTTTATTTCCGGCGACAGCTGTCCCAACGCCACAGATCGGACTCTCTCGATTCATATGCAATTTCTGATTTTACAACAGAACTACTCATCTGACACACAAGTCATCAAAATCAAGTGAGTCGCTCAAACCTAATGCTTACCGGTTTATCACAACTTGATCTTTGGAATAATCATTCGGCGATCGTGGCTACACGCCATTTAACGTCAATTTTTGGGCAAGATTATTTCCAAAACGATTCGGCATATTATGCGCCTTGGTAGCGTACCTGTCCTGCCGGGCTGGTCATCCTTCCGAGAATCGACCTGTACCCACAACTAAAACTTTTCTCCTCGACTCACATTTTACCTAGACTCTATGCCTCTTGCTGGTTAGCTTGTGTCAAGTTCATCTGGAGTGGGGTCTATGGTGGGAAGAATGCTTCAGCGACCCAACCAAGAGGAGTCGGAGGTTATTTCTGTAAGCCTCAAACCAGCCACCAAGTCAGATGGCGTGAAAGAACACGGTAGCTCAAGGAGTGGTGAGGAGGTTACCCCAAATTGCGTAGATAATATGCAATGTCTTCAGCAGGAGATCGAAGACTCTCCGGACAAAGGTGACAGTCCAAACCGCCGCCGATTCTGTGATATACTCAGCAGCCCAAAGTTCAAAAATAGTCCGAGACTCTATTGGATTTTGCTAGCTGTCGTGTTAGTGACGATGATTGCCGTCGCTCTCATCTTAGGTCTCTTCTTGGGCCTTTCGCACCATCTAACCCGTGCACAAATGCTCAACCTAACTGTCGACCTTGGGTACTCAAAATATGTGGGAGTCGATGAAGATGGAGGAGTCACAAAATGGCTGGGAATTCGGTATGCTGCTCCACCCACAGGCGAATTGCGATTTAGGGCGCCTTCAGACCCGATTTCCGACGATAAAACACATCACGCAGACAAAGTAAGTTTACTGACCTCGGTCATCAAGAAATCTGACTGAGCCAAACAGCATGCTGCCCTCTGTCATTCTACACCCTCTACAGCTCTTAATCCCAACACAACTGAAGACTGTCTTTTTCTTGATGTCTATGCGCCTTCGTCGAAACCAGGCCTTCATCCTGTCTATGTTTTTATCCAGGGTGGTGGACTTAACATCCTTGCGAATCCAAACCTAGATGGAGGAAAACTTGTGAGAGCTGGTGATTTCGACATCGTAGTCGTGACCTTTAACTATCGAGTCGGGCCGTTTGGATTTTTAGCAAGCAAAGAAATCAAATCTAATGGCGATCTAAATGTGGGACTATTAGATCAGCGTAAGGTCTTTGAGTGGATCCAAAAACATATCAATAAGTTTGGTGGTGACCCAGATCATGTGACTCTAGGTGGTAGTTCGGCAGGCGCAGGATCAGTCGCCCTTCACCTCACCGCTTACAGTGGTCGAAATGATGGTCTCTTTCACGCAGCCGCAGCCGGAAGTCCTTCATTTGGTGCTAAACAAACAGTTGAAGGCTTGCAATATCAATACGATACGCTTGTTGACAGGGTGAACTGCAGCTCGTCCGCAGATACTCTTCAATGTCTCCGAGATCTCGATATCAGCATCCTTGCTGAGCACAATCAGGTCATTCCAGTACCCGAAAGTGAGGAAGGCTATCCGGTCTTCACATATTCGAATGTTATTGATGGAAACTTCAGCGTTGACAATACATATAGCCTTCTCACTGACGGGAAATTTATTAAAGTCCCCATCATATTTGGTGACGATACAAATGAGGGCACAATATTTACTCCATCAGCAATCAATACTACAACTGAAATGAACCACTTCCTCAAAAACAACTTTCCAAAGCTCGACCAGACCCAAATGGATCGCATTGATAAATTCTATCCACGGGCTCAACAGTTTCCTGATCGCGGTGAGTACTGGTGCTCGGCTGCCAATGCATACGGTGAGATGCGATATACCTGTCCGGGAATCCATATAAACTCACAATTCTCCAACTACGGTGCACTGGAGAATTGGAATTTTCAGTGAGTGACCCATCTGTACTCCAACGCATGCCACCCTCGCTCACCACAGAATTCAAGTTGGGATGTACTAGAAAACAAAAATGCTCTATCGGGGCTGGGCGTGACTCACACGGCGGACCTCACATCAATTTGGGGAACGTCGGTGCCGCCGGAAAAAGAGCTCATTCCTACTATCCAAAGTTACTGGACATCGTTTATCCGCACCTACAACCCTAATACCTATCGTCTCAAAGATGCGCCCGAGTGGAAACCATTTAGCGCAGATAGCATGCTGCGCCTTCACTTTGTTACCGCCGCAAATGTGAGTATGGAAGCCGTAGACAGTGAGCAATGGCAGCGCTGCAGCTGGTTGCAAGGCGAGAGCCGCGCACTTGGCATCTAGCCTACAGGCTCCTCATCTCGCTTGCCCTCACCCAGCTCATAGTCGCCATCCTCCCTGCTAGCCTCTCTACCATCTTGTGCTGGGTCTCAGGCTCTAGATATGAGTCCGTGAGATGCCGTAACAGCCGCCTCGTAAGCGATTAGTGATGAGCCACATGGTCGAGTCGCACTAATTACTTCGGACTCCTGGTGTCACGACGCCTGTCAGACACAGTTCCCGCCTTCTGCGTGTCGCACCGCATCTCAGACGTCATGTTTTAGCTTACTACGTCTATCCCACCAGTTATTCGAGGATGGGCAAACTCCTTCGTACTTCCTGTAACGACGGGTTGAACTCCAAACAGACAAAAGAAATTGTGCATAGAATGTCAGCCCAAAGTATATAGTGTAGCATATATTTACAATGCAGTTGATTCTACAAGTTTGCGTCTCATCGCGTTTTTCATCATTCTAATTGTCACTGGTATAGCCTTTAATCCATACATCCTTTTATCAATACACTCGTCGCCCGAGATTATCCCTCACTTTCAAAGCATTCACCTGTGACAATACTGAGCCCATCGTGACCCTCGCCCGTTATTGCCTGACCCTCTTCATACGTTACCCGTCGCCAACCACACGGTTCCATATGATCTTTGATCCATTCCGTCGTTGGGAAATAGTGCTCATTTTTCTTCATCGTTATGACCCATGGCACGTTATCAAAGGTCATGGCGCGCACACGAAAATCTTGCAGCGTTAGTATAGACTGAAGTAGGGAGGATTTTTGCGTAAGCTTACAAGTATTGTCTGGAATAGGGACGACGACATGGAGGAAATCCTCAATATTCTTTGTGGGTCGCCCATTGACATGAGTAACAAAGTTGGTGGGTGTAAGTCCATACTGATAAGCTGGACTGCCCCGAGTCCGCGCAGAAACATACACTTCACTGTGTAATTTACTTATTTGCTGTCGAACGGCATGATGAGGCCTATGCAAGACAGCACCACAAAAACTGATGGCTCGATCAGTTTCAAGGTCATTAGCAGAGACAGTAGGAAGCTTGAGACTAATCTCCACACAGTCCCGAAGAATAAGCGCGTCGAGGTAGTCATTGTCGTACATGACGTCAAGTTCTGAAACACGAGTGATAATTTTTCCATTGAGCGTCAGAATCACATCACCCTCGACAAGAGCGGCTGTCTCGTCACCACGCTCAAAAGTGCGCTTTCGTACCATGAACAATTGATGGCGAGAATGATTATCTTCTGCTACTTTTTTTATCCATTCCTCCGAAACTCCCATAATGCGGGCCTGACTCATCTGGATGGCGTTAAACTCAACACTAAGCATTCGCAATCGGGGAATTTCATCTTGCTGAATCTTGCGAATTACTGGAAGGAGGGTCGGGGTTGCGAGACCAAGATGATAATCTGTATCTTTCTGTGTCGAGGGGGATCGTTCACCGAGGTACGTCAACCACAATGCCTGGACAGTTCCGTCTTCACTCACTAGAACACCGCTTCCGCATTGACTGCTTAAACTAGTATCGACTGTGATTGCGTCGACGTTAACAGCGCGATACCTAGGTGCGACGGTATTTGCTGGGATTGCAACGGCTGTGATATCTGTTACGTTGGTCTGCGCAATAACAACACGCATGTTTTGGTTAAAGCCAACAAAATAAGTGGAGGCTCCCTGCGTAATATGAACATCGCTTAGTTTAGCGCTTTGTACAGGAGCATCGACTAGAGATGGATCATACTTGATGACGGCATAGTTTTGAAGTGGGTGCATAAATATGACCTTTCCCTCTACTATTATGGAGTCGGCGATAGTGATAGTAATATCGCATAGATCATAGGGAACAATTGCCCTTGATATGACGACCAAGCCCTTATCGGCATCAATCACAACACCCATAGCCCACTTTCGATTTCGTGGGAACCCGTCCAACTTCATGGGCATGTGACATAGAACTCTTACAAAGCTCCGTACGATGTCAGCTGCGGCTGGATGCTGAGTGTTTGACAGTTGAATAAAGGAGGCACTTCGAGGAACTGGAGGTAGAGCGGGCAGAGGATCAGCAATATCTGAAAAGTCCCAGAGACCGGTTGAGTCATTCCTTACCGCTAGTCGCATTTTGCTTGACCAGTGACGGTCAATTGTTAGTATACTGGTGTTTAATGTATGTAAGTCTCTAAGATGCTTGTAGGTTACCACCACTCTAGCTCGATCTGGAATATTCTTCATTACTTCAATGAAAGAGTCCAAATCTGGAGTTTTTTTGTGGTCAACCGTCTGTATCAGCCATCCATTGTCCATATGTTCAAATCTAAACGAACCTGTTGCTTCGCACACGAAGACGCCCTTACAAGCAACTGCATATAGTCGGGCTTGTTGATAAGACAGATTATGAAAACTTCCACCAGATACAGAAACGAATCTGTCGGGTGTAATTGTATGCAGATCTCCTACGGTCACTTCAACCTCTAAGTCTTCTCCACCACGTTGTAAAAGCAACTTTACTTGAAGCCCCACGTTGGAATCAAGAATATCATCCAGGCGTATGAATTGAGTGAGTAATTCCCCATTAACTTTTATTAGGACATCGCCTTCCTCGACTTGGTTGTCTGATGGTCCTTCAGGCAAAACTATTTCAGCGACCAGCATACCAGTTTCCTTGGGGAAGTTTTTTCTTATGGCGCCCTCCCATTCTGGTGTCAATCCAAGCCTTCTACATTCATCAAAAGGTTTAATCATCCATTGACACTGTATAGTACCCCGTGTAATTTTTTTTCCTTCTTGAATGCATTTTAGGGCTCGAAGAGGTCGATCCAATGGGAGGAAATAGTCTGTCGCAGCTCCGTCACTTCGGCCACCAGCTTGTAAGGCAACAGCAAAGCCGTCGATGTTGACTACAGGACTTCCTGAACTTCCACCACTCGCTGCGGCAGCAGCTTGTATGTAGTTGGTATTAAAATCACAGTAACCTTCTCCATATTCAGGAGCGTTACGATCTAATCTGCTGATAACGCCAGAAAGTATACTTAACTTCTCTCCTGCGTCGTTTCCTACAACTCTTATTTCCGAGCCTACCTTGGCGAGATCGGGTCTTAAAGTTAAGGCAGTGACCGGCATATATTTTATAGCTTTCGGGTTAAATCGTAAAATGCCAAAGTCGTGGACTGGGTCGCGATAGACTGGGTAGGCGTCTACTTCCTCGTGATTGTCGAAAATGCAGTATCCCCAAAAAGGCCCGGCTCCAACTACATGTCGATTTGTCATGATATACCTGAAGTTCTAAGCATGGTTATGCGAGCGGAGTTTGACCTACCCTCTCTCAGCGTCTACCACAAATCCTGTTGCCTCGCTGGTCAGAGCTGAGTCTGTATCGAATGAGCATGTTTGGCAAAACCGAATTGAGACCACATTCCGCACAACATTCTCAATGCAAGCTTGCCATTCAGCAGTATCCGCCATGCCTGAAGCTACTCTCGTATCTTCAATTTCTATACCCACATCTTCATCCTCATAAAGTGATTCCTCAGGGGTAGGACTATTTGATTCCATTTCAAGGGTAATCTTGTGTTGTTTCAATGGTCTTTCAGCGATAGGACCTGGATGCTGTTTCCTTTTTGCTCGTGGAGAATGCCCATTCATCTTGTGAAGGGCATACACCGAGAAAGGCCGTGAAGCTGAGAAAAGATTAGATCCGTAGTTATGCCTAGATAGGTGGAAGTGTTGGTAGTGTGATTTGGGGCCTTCAAAGCTTTTTGTGACAAATTTGAAGAAGCTGTTTGAGGATTTCAATCTCAGGCGGATTTGTATCGCCTTATTCATTCGCAAAATTATTATATCCACAGTCCATTAATAACTAGAATTGAGGCGATTCGTTCGAAAATTGGAGTAATATTAATATGTTTTGAGTTGCAGTTCGAGAAAGCGCAACACAAAGCTGTAGCACCTAGCCATAGGTCGGAAATCCCAGCATAGAAATTTCCTCGGAGTCATGTGACTAATAATGTTAGATATCTGAGACTCTGTATCAGGGAATCTCGTCCGTTGCAAACAAACTCGCAATAGTCTTCGCAGAAATATAAAGCTCATTTTGAAAGTATAATCTAAGATTGGTACTGTTGAAAGAAATCTCATGTGGAAATGGTATTTCATCGAAGTACGTAATTATCCAAAAGATCACCCGTGAACTATGGATCTTATATCTTCTCTGATGTCACAAAACAAGTCAAGATGAGACTTTTTATTCGTGGATCTACGTACTTAATAGTCTAACTTGAGTTTGAACAACCATGCAGTGGATCCATTCAGTGCTATCATTCCAGAGTTGCTTATCGGGGTACTTAAGATCATTCCCTTCATGAAAGCCTCATCCAGCTAACCCTTACGAAAATTTTGTATTGCCTCGAAATGCCCTTCCTATCCAGTATATAAACATACATTGCGTGGTTGGTCGAAGATTATGGTGTGTTGTGTACAGGCTAGTGTGTCCTAGCACGATAAAGTCGATAATTTGGTTTCTGCCCACCCTTCAAGAGACTTTCCGCACAGGTTTCCGAAAGCACTGTCTGTCCCAGCCAACTCTCGTAGAGGTTGCTTCACTTCACCAAACTATGCTTTGCAACATGATGTCCTCCCCAGCTTTAAAAGCTCCTCCTGGAACCAAATTTTTTTTGTTTTGCATCAGATTTTACTTGCGTATCCAGCTATATAGCTTTAAAAAAAATCTCAGATAAAAAATACTTCATAGATCATTCAGTTTAAAAGAAGAGTACTCATGCCTCGAATTTCATTCGCAATGGCCACCATGAAATTATGGCGGCTTTTTTTCATCCCAAGTCAACCATCATCCGAGAACATCCATCCAGGAAAAATTCTCATACACCCTGGGTTATTCAGACATGCCTCCATCATCCATTGTATTTTATCCGCGCCAAATTTGGTCTGAGGCATCTCCTTCCCAAGTGGAGTAGGTGTCCAGGATACTCTTTTTTATTTTTTTATTTAGAGTGTATTCAGCTATCTAGCTATGACACGTTATTTACATAATTTTAGTCCCCAAAACTCCTTTCTGAAATACAATCTTCATGATTATTTTTTTAATTTCCAATTTAGCTATCCTAGTTAAACTCCCAAGGAACACTAGCAGGAGGCTAACCATGTCACCTTCCATCGTTGGCTTGTATTTATAGTGTCAGTCGCACTCTTGCATTCGGAGTCTTAGCGCGCACAAAGCTCTAAATTTCACACACGTCGAGATAGTATCTATCCTCTGCATCATCTTGTAAACTTGTCCTAATCTCTCTCTCGACCATCCCAGAGAACTGTCTCCCGGATTTGTGCGCCACGCTTTGCTTACTCCGTTGGGTGCAAATATCGGCATCGGCGTGTATTTGGTGACAAGCTGAGGCCAGAGAATAGTCGAAGAGAGGTATAGTTACTCGAATGAGGATGTACTTGGTCGTACTTGTAGTCTTGATGGGACTTAAGAAGATGTCTATCTCGTTGGGAGTGAAAAGCTGACTCGGTGGAGTATTTTGAATCATTGCCTTATGGGCCAACTTCTTCGGTATTGCGAAATTTGACAGAACTTGGCTCTGGGAGAAAATTTCACTCCCAGGCTCGTATAGAACGCCACGCAGAGACGTCCCCTGGGTGGTTATTCACGGATGAGAGTTGACTTGGGGTGAAGAGAAAGCCACCATAACTTCGCAGTTATACTTGCAAATGAAGTCTGAGGCATGAGTGCTCTTCTTGTAAATCGAGTCATCTTTTACACACTTCTCTGATATTGTGTCATAGCTAGATAGCTGCATACACAATTAAAATCTGATTCATAAAAAAAAAGAGAACGCCACGCACAGATGTTGAGTCTTTATCCTCCAGAAAACCAGATCATACCCTATATCTCTTTCGAAATCGTGACTATTTTGAATTACAACTTATTCTTTTACTCCCCAAATTTCTCACTTCTCATACAAATAATTCCATATCAGATATGTCAGTCTTGATTCTAGTTCTTAACCGAATACGCATAGTGTGGCGGATGCTTATGTAAATCCCTGAGATTGAGTGGCTTGGAATTTTGGGAAGAGAGTTAAAAAGATATATTCTTGTATTCGTAGGAGATAGATATATTTTTATTCGTAATGGGCGCAAGCCTATCACTCACAGAGCGTGACAGGGAAAAGGCTGATACTTACTCGACGACTATGTACGACGGTTATTCAGTTTGAAATTAGGACCACTAATTTAGAGGGTGCACTCGCTGGTACCACTCAAAAACCTTGTGCTAGGGACTTTCACCCTTCCCACAACCGTTAATATCCACCAAAGGGAAAGCCGGAAAAACCTTTGGCTACCCTGACATGGCTTTGTCATCTTGTATATAGCCGCCGCGCGAGATATGGCCTCACATTCCTCCCTTTCTCGAGTAAGATAGGTGTCTAGGCTACCCAGACTTTAATTCGGGGAAATGAAGATCAGGTGGCGGACCAAAACACCTTCCATCGTTGTCTATTATTGGAGTGTCGGTTGCACTGTCCCAAATCGTTGTCTCTGTGCCCACAGACATCCTTGAGTCGAAACCACTGGAAAAATGTACGTCCCAGCATGCCAATTTGTGATCTCTTCACTCGTTCGTCCCACGTCCTAGCTGCCTATCTTCCCTCAAGATGTGAAGCCCCATTAGAGCAACGGTCCCCCATAGACCAAGACCTGAGATTTGTAGGTTATGACTTAATTTCCTCCTCGCGGGTATACACAGCATCGTAATTTTGTAGTTGGAGGTGGCCGATTGTTGACGAGACAAATGCCCGATTGCAATTGTAGTAACGCCATTATCGGTATTTAAGACGAGTTGGTATAGTAAGATTGAGGAGGACTCGCGTGAGAATGATAAGTCCGACATTGACGAAAAGTCGTCGACTTCGATTCGGATGCGATTCTTCTTGGCTATCCTAGATGTGCAGAGCATACTGAGCGATTACAGCGGCACAACTGGATGGTTAAGAATTCTTCTTTGCCGGCTCTAGTATATTATGATTTCCTACGGTTGGAAAATTATGTATCACGCTCATGTTGACCAGAGTGCACTCAACAGCGTTCTGCAACATGAAATTCTCACGACTCTGAGCCCTCGTAACTCAGGAGTGCGTTTCACAAACTGTACGCAACTACCGCGCAACAGGGGCTAGAATCTCACCGGGAGATATTCCCTCATCACTTAATTTCTTACCAGAAGATCAAATCGAATCTCCCGCCAACAGAATCGCTTGCGCATCGCATCTTTTCAGTTCAGCCTTGCAGAATTTTCCGACGCCGTTAGGTGTTAGGAGGCTCTTGGCACAAGTGGGGGGGGGGTTAACTAGTTACAGTCGTCCAACTTGATAATAGGCTAAACCCTAAATCCCCGCTATTCTTCCAAAGGCCCGGCTCGAGGCGTGCTCGGACTGGCCGATCACTCATAATTATTTCGCCAATCTCGAAAATAGTCAACGATTAAGCCCGTCACTTAATCTAATTAGAGAATGGCTTCGAGTATAAGTACACCTGATACTGGTGATGGACTGCGGAAAAGAATCGAGCAAGGAAAAATATCTGGTAGCTTCAAGCCCGTGAATGATAGTCCTCCTAAGGAAAGCAAATTGGCAACTAAAGTATTGGAAGAAGATAAAAAAACGTTTGGCCGAACTCCAGATGGCACCAGTAAGTCAAAAAAAGGACTCTTTATTATTTGTTGGCGATCTATCTAAACAAACTACTAATTGACTGGCAGTTTTCGCCGTCCCCCAAACTCATGACATGGTTTCTCAGCTTCTTGATCCACGACAGCCTAAAAACCTATCCGATGCTCTAGTAATAATTATACTTGTTATTCATATAATGACTTTGTATTACCTACCTTCTAAATTTAGAAGAACCGCATTTGCAATAATATTTCTCTTCTGGAGGGCCTGCTACAATGTTGGGATTGGCTATCTCTTACATATGCAATCGAATTACCGATGGCTTACATTGTGGGCAAAAAAGACCGATATCTTTGATGTGTCTAAAACGGCAAATCAACCATATTCTTGGCTTTCTCTAATTATTAGGCGCGAACTTGAGATAAAGATACCAAATGATTACCATTTCGAAAAAGCTCCGATTGAGTACAACACCTGGCTTGTCTTTCGGAAAGTTGTGGACTTAATATTGATGTGTGATTTTACTAGTTACTGCTTGTTTGCTATTGCTTGTGGACACCGTCCAGTTGACGAAAGCTTTCTTATGACTATAGCTAGATGGGGTGTCGGAATTATACTCGTGGGCTTCAATCTTTGGGTGAAGTTGGATGCTCATCGTGTGGTCAAAGATTACGCTTGGTATTGGGGTGACTTTTTTTATCTTATTGACCAAAAATTAACATTTGATGGTGTCTTTGAGATGGCTCCCCATCCTATGTACTCGGTAGGATATGCTGGATATTATGGTATTTCAATGATGGCGGCTAGTTATAGTGTGTTGCTAATTTCAGTCATCGCACAAGCAGCTCAGTTTGCTTTTCTCATCTATGTTGAAAACCCTCACATAGAAAAAACTTACAATTCACCTCCTCCACGGAAGCGAACGATCAGCCTTAATGGGAACCACTTAAATGAAAAGGATACATTAACTTTGAAAGAGGATCACGACGATAAATGTGTAAATGACGAGTGGGATAAATCCTTTGCACCAGAATCAGTCTCAATTCATCATTACTTAGGATTTGGAAATTTTGATTTGTTTCGCTCCACCGACTTGTCTATCTTGCTTATTCAAGCTCTCATGGTTATTCTCACCTTTATGACACCGTCCACCCTCTCTTCCCAGGTATTTTTCTTCTTCAATGCAGTGTTCTGGCGAATTTGGTATACTGTAGGCCTTGGGGTAATCCTTGATAAGCAATCAAAAGCTAAAATGTGGACACGACACTTCGTCAAATACGGTGAATCAGCCGAGGAAGCTTGGAAGCAATGGAAAGGAATGAATTATCTGAGTATGACTATGTGCTACGCTAGCTTTATAGCTGCGTCATATAAGATGTATTCTATTCCGACTGATTGGGCATACGGTCTAGTCTTATTTAAACACATTCTCGGGGCAGGACTCGTTGCCCTTCAAGTATGGACAGCTGTAAGTATCTATGAATCACTTGGTGAATTCGGCTGGTTCTTCGGGGACTTTTTCTTCGATAAAGGCAGCAAGTTAACTTACAGTGGTATATATCGTTATCTCAACAACCCAGAACGTATTATTGGGCTCGCCAGTATATGGGGGGCCGTGTTAATTACAAATAGCCCAGCAATTTTTTTTCTGGCTTTTATTAGCCATATTCTTACATTAGGCTTTATCCAACTTGTGGAGAAACCTCATATGCAGAAATTATACGGAAGAAATCTACGCGCCGAAGCTGGCCTAACTAAAGGAATCAAGCGCTCTCTTCCACCCCCTTTACAGAGGTTTCAGGGTAGCGTCGATCGTGTTTTGGAAGACACAAGCCATTTTGTTCGGGACTTTGTGGATGCAGCGAGACCAAAATTAGCTGCCGGGGTATCAACATTCGTTCGTGATACGTCATCCTTGTTTAGCCAATATCCAGCCCGTATAACTATAACACGACTAGCCCCGGACCTTGCTGGATATAACCCAAGAGACTACTCTCTGGAGATTTCGGAAGTTTCTTCAAATCAGGAATTAAGAAAATTATCTGAGAAGATAGGAAAAAGAGAGTGTTCTACGTCTCAATCTAAGCTAGCTCAGACGACAGTATATGAGCCGCTAGTTTTTGACTACGGTAGTCCAATCACTGTGAAATGGCAGGCTCCAGCTCACTGTAGCAAGGATGATTGGATCGGACTGTACAAAGTTGCCGATAACGCTTCACGCGAGGTAACTCGCATCTCATCAGCTGGCCGCTGGTTACCAACATTACCCAGCCTTAGTTGTGCGAACGCCAGGGATAGGAGTGAGATATCTTTAGAGGGAAAACATGGCACCCCGTCACAGCAAGGCCGATCCTGTCAGACGACGCATGTCCACGGGGAAATAGTCTTTGAAGGAGATAAACTTTGGTGGACTCAAGGTGTCTTTGAGTTTCGCTATCATCACGATGGCAAGCACAATGTTATGGCCATATCATACCCGTTTGAAATATCGATCCGCAGGTTTGATGAGGCTCAACTCCAGGTTGAGGATGACAATTGGTCACGGGTAGCCGTTGAAACTGCTTTACTACCAGTCATCCGTAACTGCCTCGATCGCGATTCCAATTTTGCCCCAATTTCAGTAGATGACTGTTTTGGAATTCTCGTTGAAAGGGATGGCAAGTACGCCAAGCGAGTCGCCTTTGCAGTGCATCAAATGTTTGGCCTTGAATTCTTACCCAAAGTGATCATTGCAGACGGTAGTGTGCGAAAATTGGCCCGCAGAATCTGTATTGCTAAAAAAGCCCTAGTACGTATTTTGCTTCTATGGCGTCAAATTCCTTGCCCTAGTCTTATATCTACCTTCCTCTAACTTTAATCTACCAGGCACCCTACAGTATGTCACAATATTCTTAATAGTATCAACTATGCAGATAAACTTAGCATAATCTGTACGGAAATTGAGAGAAGTTAAGCTGTAAAAGAATTGCTTTTCAACAACCGAGAGGCTCTATCAAAATCTGGTTCTGTTGTTCTATGACACTAAGTAAATTTTATGATTATTCTTGGTTTTTTAAAAAAAACATCAACTACACCTATCCACATTACGAGTAAATAGTTAATTACAGCATGTTGAAACGACCTGAGAAGATTTAAAAATGTAAAATTAATCAGGTAAAGAATTAGTCAGCAGCAACACGAAGGATACATAATATAAAGATCTGTCACGTGATCAAAAGAAGAAATTGTGCATGGACTAGCTGTCTCAGTCTGCTTATTCTTCTATAATTCATAAACCAGAAAATGTTTCTCATGTAGACTTCATCCATGTGATGTTTTAATCCAACAATATGCAACTGACATCTTAGGATGCCATTATACGGCATAAAATTCAGATTATCGATCAGTATATGTTACTTCTCAACCCGATTTCACTGTGGAATACGAGATAATAAAAAGTTTAATTCAGCAACTACCAGGGGATAGAACAAAATTATGGTTTCCTAATATACTATCAAGCTTCACCTTACCCCAACAGGAGTTTGTGAGTCTGGCTACATCGACAGTAGACTTGACTTTGTATCAACGCTAATATAACTCTTTCACTCTCGAAAATACCGCAATTAATCTGAGATTAGCTTCAGATAAGATGTCAAATATGCTGTGCTTCAGTCTATCCTAGAAATATTTTAGTGTCAGAATCAGGATTAACCATCTTGGAGGTTTGATCTGAGTCGTAGATATCGGGTTATAAGTATACCAACTCATTAATGCAATAGTTGATGGTCCTATTGTTATGGGAATACTCCATTGTGTGTGTACTGTCTGCACCGGTACGGTAGAGATTGAATCTAGGGCCTAGTCAGCTATAGAGACTACCAAGGGTGTAGATTGGGAACAGTTGCTAAGCAACAGAGACTGTTATAGTCGGCATCGTTAATTAAAGTCTCTCATGTAATTAGCAAGATGTAGATGGCCTTTCGTCACTATCTTTGATTTGAAATCTTTTACGCGACATGAATAACCTAACATCTATTTAGACGTGACACAGGTAGATAGGCTCTGAGGGCTCATTGCTACCTACATGACCGTCAGTGATGCCAGAAGCAATAAAAGAAAAGAAGGAAGTAACTAAAAGAACAGTATATGTCTGAATTACGGTGCCCTGCGCCGTTTCCCTGTCTTCCACACCCATCTACTCTCGGGTCAGAAACAATCTCAGCGCAGTCACCTTCCACCCTGTTCATTCTTCGGCAGACTGTAACATCTACTTGTAGTTAGGAATTGAATGAACTTCTGTCATCCCTTCTCCCCTATCATTTCCCTGGCTCCAGGTGGGGCCATTTTCTCTTAGATTCTCCAACGTAGCAAAGTAGGTCGGCACTCTTAAAAATGCCAGGGCCTTTTCTCTCGGCCGCAAATACATTTTAGATCTTCATGTTCGGTGTTGAAACGTCGATGGTTGTCGGCGTAGTCCTCATAGCCTGTTCTTGCTGCAATAAGACGATGGTACGCACATCTTGGTAAAGCTGGTTCCGGTGGCCTTTGCAACGCATGAATAGGTCCAGATCTTTGTATCGTTTCGGTCGATACTTCTGCCACCACTCTTCCACGAGCTCTTGGCTACGCTGTTTAACCCACCTCCCTAATGCCGCAAATGTTAGATCTTGATCTTCTAGAATGGGCGCAGCTGAGGTTAGTGACCGGTTATTGGAAGCTCCCAAGGCTGACCTGGCCAGCTTATCGGCCTCTTTATTGTCTTGAATCCCCACATGCCCGGGTATCCAGCATATTTCCACACGTTTATTGTGTCTCAGCGATGAAAACTTGTCCACCACCGACTGCGAGGAGTTAGATCTTCCTCTTTCAAGCGCCTGGGTGGCCGCTTGGTTGTCTAGAAGAATGCAAACCGGTAAGTTTTCTCCTACCTCTATTGCAGCCTTCAACGCTTTCATGGCACCTACAACTTCTGCGTAGAATACCTCTGCTCCGGGAAGTGGACCGGAACCACTTTCAACTAGCTTGCCTCCTTGGTATACTACATACCCTCAGGATGATTTTCCGGGACCCGATGATGATCCATCCGAGAAAGCGCAAACTGTGTTAGCTGGGCGGGAAGCTAACCACCGCTTTATGCTTCCAGACCTAGCTTCTTTTTCTCGACTACATGGAGTCGATGCTGGAGTGCCGCGTGGGAAGTATAGCTTTCCAGGGCTTTTGGCTGTCGGAACTCGACGCACACTTATTTGTAGGCGTGTCATGTACTGTTCTGGTTGTCTGAACAATCGATATCTTTGTCCCGATCTAAGACCTAGGCGTCTTATTGTCTCTTTCGGGTACTCAACCGCCCGAGGAGCTAGAGGGTGCCAGATATCTATTCTTCGCATACGAGCTGCAGACCGCAGCATCTTTTGCTGGAGAATTATCGATGCCGGGGGTATTCCTGCTTCACGATGGAGAGCGCTATTGGGGGTGGTACGCCACGCTGGGAGTGCTACTCGAATAGCTTTCATTATCGTATTGTCTAGTAGAGATACATGCCAGCCTACTCCAGTGCCGACTTCTTTATCTCGCAGTGAGGTTATTCGAATGAGACCCGGCCACCACGCTTCTGCTCCATATAGAGCTGTGCTCAGAACGTATGCTTTTTTTTTGGCATAAGATTTTAATTGCGTATGCAGCTATCTAGCCATGACAAGATATCAAAGAAAAGTACAGAAATGATGACTCAATTACAAGGGGAGCACTCATGCCTCGGATTTCATTCGCAGGTACCACTGCGAAGTTATGGTGGCTTTTTCTTCACCCCAGGCCAACCCTCATCCGTGAATACCCACCCAGGGAAACTGTGAAGGGACTTCACATTTGTTGTTCACAATTATGGGTCCAAAAATGAATTTATATTTTATCTAAGGAGGAGAACATTTACAACGCGCGCGCAAGATGTTTTGTTCCAATCGAGCGCGTTTTCCCGTGACACTAGCGCGCTTTTGTTCATAGACGGAGCCGGATAGTTCCGGATCCACATACAAGGCTACAGCCTGTAACATTATCCCTCTACTTCCATTGAGGCTGGTGTCAACTTGACTTAGATTGAGTCACTAAGGAGCGTTTTGTAACTCTCCTCCGCCCTATGAAAGATCCAATATTTTCGCCGACATTATCTTGTGTCCCGAACTGCGTTTCGAACGTGTCTAGTGCTTCGGTATCCTCCAGGCTGCTCCTAGGTTCCCATGTAGGTTCCGCAAAACCCTTCCATTTGACTAGCAGCGACCTTCGGTGACCTCGACCAATCTTTCTATTTTCTGCCCGAAGAATTCTCTCAACAAATTGCTCTTCACTGTCTGACTCTGGATTAATCTCTGATAATTGGGACTTAACAGGAGGAGGTTGGGCATCATCGGTTTGTTGTGATGGCAAAGGGTCAGTGGCTGCTCTTTTTAATAAATCGACATGAAAACGAGGCCATATCCCTAAAGGTGTGTTTAGTTCAACAGAATGTGAGTCGATAACTTTTGTTACCCGATACTTTGCATTAATCCATGAGAGTTTCTTTGAAAGTTGAGGTGTCTGAATATTTTTTAGGTTCAGCCATACACGGTCTCCCACTTTAAATATTTCAGCCTCTTTTCGGCTTTTATTCGCAAATTCCTCCATAGTATGCTGGGACGATGCCATGGCGGCCTGTGCTAGTTCTTGCGCTTCACGAAGCCTCTCAACGAAATTTATTGCTCTTTTTCTAGGTTCCGATGCAGTGCCAATATGCTCTACTTGTTGAATTGGCTCTATATTGTAGCCATGTTCAACAAAAAACGGGCTCATCCCAATGGCGGTCGAAACCCTATTGTTAATGGCCAACATGGCGCAGGGTAAAAGATCCTTCCAGTCAAATTGGGTGTAGCTTACAAATGCTCTTAGATAAGCTAGGATCTCTTGATTCATACGTTCAGTTGCACCGTCGGTTTGAGGGTGAAAAGCTGTTGATAGACGTTGATTCATACCCGTTTGACGACAAAGTTCTCGCCAGAAGTCTCCCACCCAATTTGAACCTCTGTCAGATGTTATATGGGCAGGGAAGCCGTGATACCTAAAGTGTAACTTGAGGAATACCTTGGCACAGTCTTCCGCTTTCATAGAGCTCATTTCTTCTAAAGCGACACTACCTTTTAAGCGATCGACTATAACCATCAAATATCTTGGGTCAGTGCTTGTCTTTGCAGGTAAGTCTGTCATAAAATCGATTGCAATTTCACTGTTAAACCTATCAGGAATGTGAAGTGGCCGAAGTAGACCCTTTTTTTGTTCTCTCCACACGTGACTGCGGCCGCAAACATCACAATTTCTGCAAAACTTCCGCACATCTTTTGATATTCCAGGCCAAAAAAAATTTCGATTTAATATAGCTAATGTACTGTCTCTTCCAGGGTGTCCAGTGACATGGGAATCATGTGTTTTCTGAATTAGCGCAGTTTTCAAAGGTTCGTAGTCTGCAATCCAGACTCTATTTCTAAAAACTAGTGCTCCTCTTGGGTCGAAGCTACACTCTGCTAATGAGATTTTCAAGTCGCTGAGACTTGGTGGTAGGCTTCGACTTCCATCTCCTAGACTATTATATAGCAGCTGGATCTTCTCATCTTTTTGAAGTGATCTATCCCAGAGGGTCTGAAAATGTTCGTCTGAAAACATATTATTGCCATTTGGGATAGATGAACTATTCTTAGTTTGGGACTTCATCTTATTAGCTGAAGAAAAGGAGAAAATCCATGAGTCTTTGATTAGCTGCAATTATCGATCTTTCAGGCGGTAATCGTCATACCCTTGTGGCATATCTTGCTCACGTCTTGATAATGCGTCGGGTCTTGCTGCTAATCTTCCCGGTCGATATTTCAGCTTGAAGTCGAACTGCGATAGGAGTT